GCTGTGGATTTTTGGACAAAGATCCACAGCGAAATGCAAAAGATACTGAAATGCTCTTTTAAAAAAGCGCCTGAAATTCTGCTTTTGGGACTTAAAATGGAAGAAGTCAACACGACGAAAAAAACCTTACTCTGGTACTTAATAACAACAGCAAGAATGATTTATGCACAATTTTGGAAAAACGAAAAAGTACCAGAGACCGAAGACTGGATACAAAAAGTTCTGTTCATGGCTGAAATGGATAAAATTACAAAAAACCTGAATAACAAGGAAGATGACGTGTTTTTAGAAGAATGGAGTGACTTTAAAACATATCTGGAAAAGAACTGGGCTGTGAAACAAAATTTAATATGTTTAGAACAATATTAGGTTAATTGATGTTATCTGGAGACAGTAGTGATAAGAAAAATGATTTAACTGATGACGTATTATAATGTGGGTGGAAGGGTGGAAGCATTGCGGGAAGCCACAGGAGGAAGGGGAGGTAAGGGGAACGGGGTAAACGAAGGGAAAATGAAAATGAATATTGTTGGATGTTAAGTTCCTATTGAAAATAAAAATTTGTTTACCAAAAAAAAAAAATGCACCCTATGGACTGGCCAATCTCTGTGTTGGTTCTGGCGATCTTTGTTGGCCTGGATGTGCCTCACCATACTCCAAGACTTCAACAATGTGCCTTCTCTTTTCCCCGGAACGACAGGAGTATCCTGAGCTATGATTTAAACTGTACAAGAGCAGATACTTAGGCAGCAGTAGATTAATGGCAATGGAAGTCCAGCCCTCCCCCCAATTCAAAATGCAAACAATCCCCCTATATCATATTTAAGGAGGGGGAACTTTTTCACTTGGACTGACAAGATACCTAAAACAATGGGTTGCACCCTATCAAAAAGATTGTGTGCAGGGAGGGAGGTTTTCACCAACTCCCCTTCTGTTGATAAAGGGAACTTTCTTTGCCTCTAGAACATTTACACCCTGAAACTCCTGTTGGTCTCCAGGGTGCAACTGGACTCAAATCTGCTTCACTGCAGACCAACGTGGCTACACTCCAAAACTATCCTTTTCTGCAGTAGCCCTCCAACGTCCCCCTTGTACTGCTCCTAGAGGGGTGCCCCCATCCCCAGGACCAGCATTTGGGGGGGGGGTCATTTCTAGGAGCAGTGAGAAGGGGGGGAAATGGAGAAGTTGTGCTTCCATGTACTAGAAGTCCTTCCAAGCATGAAAGTTTTAGATGGGATCAATGTTCCCTCTAAGCTGTGGATTCCTGTGAGCAAAAATTCTACTTTGTGAGCGACTGGCATGAAAGTTGTGAGCGAGTGATTTGGCTGCTGTATAAATTAGTATGCTCTGGAGCCATCCTTCCTGAGCTGAGACAAAAATGTGTGAGCCGGAGGCTCAAAAACTGTGAGCTAGCTCACACCAACTCAGTTTAGAGGGGACCCTGGATGGGATCCACCCCAATTTTTTTTAATTAATCTAATTTTGTTGCTCGTTTGTTTACTTAAATAGATCCACAGAGAACTGTAAATTCAGGAAACAGAGACCAGCTTTATCCAGAAAAGCTGTATTGAGGTGACTGATTGCCTGAGACAATAATTGCATACTCCTGTGGCAGTGGAAAAGGGATTAGGGTTATCCCACAGGATGACTAACTGACTGCTTCTGGTCACAGCTGAAAACCAAGGGAGAATATCCCAAAATACTTTTTCACACCTATGTTTTCTTCTCCCTGGTTAGGTGCTGAATGCTGTCGCCCCCATGGAGAACATTTGCAAAAGGAAAATGAACCATCACTTTCTGATCAGTTAAAGTCCAAAAATGGCCACACCCCTTCGGTGTTCTGCATTATGCTTTAGAAAAACTTTCAGCATCCATGGTATGGACTTTCTATAGGTTTCCTACACTACAGTTTGGAACTTAATACTGTGTAGTAAAGCAACTAAAATACTAGATTGACTAGTTATTTCTTCTTCATTGTAGATTCTCCCCCTCCATTTGAGAGTTAATTGGAAGCTTCTTTTTTCTTGCATGGGTGGGGTCACAGTGCTATAGTGAAAAAGCCACATGTGGCAGAATTCTCCCTTTTGTGCAGCGCTACTGACACTACTGAGTTGCTGATACACACCTATAAGTTCATGTGAACAGACTACTTATGTAAGCAATGTTAAGGTCTGAGGAGGGAACTCAGACCATTTCTGCACAAGTGCAAAACTCCACATTGGCATTCTTAAATAATCAAAGCCGCTGGTCACACGTGCAGGAAAATGGGGGGGAGGCGTGGCTATTTGCGGCACTGCAATTAGCTGCGCAACAACACAATCAGACGCGTCAGCGGCAACCCACGGTTCCAGCCCTCGGTGTGTGCGCAGCAACAAAGACAGCCGGAGAGAAAAGCCGCGCCGGTGCGATCACACCAAGGGAGTCCGGAGGCAACCCGTTTGCTACTACCTTCGAGGAGGTATTTTTTTATCACGCATTTTCGGTGGCATGCCACGGGTTGCCCACAGGTGCGCTCCACTTGCCAGACGTTGTGGGGTGATTGTGCCCGGAAAAGCCGCCATCCAATCGTGGCTCTCCCGCAACAAATTCGCCGTGTGAACGGGGCCAAAGTTTGTAAAACTTTCCACACAACTTCTTGCCTCCCCAGGAACTTAGTGAATTTAAGTGCCCTGGTACCCCACATTTTCCAAATCCACTTTTTTCTATGATTTTTTTCCTCTTCAGATCTGAACTCATAGTTTTCCAGTGAGGAATTCCCACTTTCAAATTTTGTTGCCCCCCACCCTTGTGTTGTCACTGTCACGTGTTCACCCTGTCTCCTGCCCCCCTCAGGTTGTCCTCTGAGCACGCCACCATTTTTTTTACGCATGATGTTGATTGCATTACGACATCTTTTTTTTTCCATTATAATATAGGAACATTATAACGTTGGGACAAAATGGGCAGTGAGGTTTCACGTAGCCTTCTCCATGCAATTATCCATTCATGAAGTTCCTTTCCTTAAATTTTTTTGGTGGGTAGGTTTTGCCTTGCGCTTATATTGTCTCTTCATCACACACACACCCCCCATAACTCCCAGTGTGTTTTGATGACAATTCAGTGTTTTAAACATCTTTTAAAAAAGCCTGACTGACTGGCATATGCAAAAAAAAAGGAGGTTCCGTTGCTGATGAAGTACATCACGACACATTTAGCGTGCTTCATAATTATTGAATAACACTTTTATGAATTGGTGTATCCAGTTCAATGGTCGCAAACAGAACACTATTTTCATTAGGATTTTGTGGCAATCTTCGCTGGCCATTTTCTTAATTGGTGACTAAGAAGGAGCCGGGGGGGGACTTTGAAATGGCGGCAACCATGCTATTCCCCATGATACATCCAGTCTTTTTTTAATATACAGTGATGATGTTATAGCATTACTGCATATGCACACAAAAAAAGGAAGTTCGGTCGCTGACAAAGCACATGACGACACATTTAGCATGCTTCATAATTCTTGAATCACTGTTATGAACTGGTGTATCCAATTCGATGCCATGGAGGTTGGGGGGTCAGTTGTATTCAAATTGCCTTTGCATTCCTTCTGTGCTTATTAGCTGCTGTAACGCTTATCTAAGTAACACTTTTATGAATTGGTGTATCCAGTTCAATGGTCGCAAACAGAACACTATTTTCATTAGGATTTTGTGGCAATCTTCGCTGGCCATTTTCTTAATTGGTGACTAAGAAGGAGCCGGGGGGGGACTTTGAAATGGCGGCAACCATGCTATTCCCCATGATACATCCAGTCTTTTTTTTATATACAGTGATGATGTTATAGCATTACTGCATATGCACACAAAAAAAGGAAGTTCGGTCGCTGACGAAGCACATGACGACACATTTAGCATGCTTCATAATTCTTGAATCACTGTTATGAACTGGTGTATCCAATTCGATGCCATGGAGGTTGGGGGGTCAGTTGTATTCAAATTGCCTTTGCATTCCTTCTGTGCTTATTAGCTGCTGTAACGCTTATCTAAGTTCTGCAGGTGGTGGGATGTTGATGTCTAGTAAGAGAACCGTGGAAGCGAGTTGGTTCCCAGCTTCAGCGCTAAACGGCCGGAGCGCCTTCTCCCGCGTGCGGGAGTGTGGTTTATTGGCCAGGGCAGGGGTGTGTGTGCATACGAATACCCTATATCATATTATGCCCAGGGGGCAGCCGCCATTCTTAACAGTGCCTATGTTAATGCATCTATCGCTCTTCAATAAAGTATTTCCTTTCCTGATAAGCGTGTACTACGTTGCTGGCTGTGGGTTCTGACATTTTCTTAGTTGGCGACTAAGGGAGTGGGAGACCTTTGAAATGGCAGCAACTGTGCTGTTCCCCACGATACATCCAGCCTTTTTTGTTTTGCTATGGCCCTGTTCACACTAGGGGTTTTGGGTCGGGAGCGGGACGGATCGAGGGCGGAGCAAACAGGCGCGATCCCATGGCAACATCTGGGAATCGTTGCCTGCCCGTCCCTGATCCGTCCCTCCCACCGGAAAACCCGCACTAAAAAGAACTACCTACCTAGGTGGTTCTTTGGTGTAGAGTGCTTCAATCTGGGCCGTGAGATCGCCGGCGCGTCCTTGCGCCGGCGCATCCCGGCCCCCGGGCAAACTACGCATGCTCGAGCATGCGCAGTTCGGCAGCCTCCCCCCTGACTCTTCCTCCCCGGCATCTGATCGTGCCAGGGAGCAACGGCGCGCGGTGCACGGGAACCGTGGGATCCCGCCCGCGTGTCTCTATTTTGGTGCGGCTCTATTTAGTCGCGCTTTGATGGGTGTTTTCCCTCCGTGTGGCAGGGGCCAAAGTTACGTTATAACATTACTGCACATGCTCCAAAAAAAGGGAGGCTCCGTTGCTGACAAAGTACACGATGACACAGCTGCACAACCCCTTTTCAAAGGAAGTGCAAAACACATGGGGAGGGTGGGATCCGAATTCAAGGAAAAAAAAACCCCAAATAAATGCCCTTTTGTGGAAGGGGTGCCGCAAAGTTGGAGCATCCGCCGGGGATTCAACTCGCCAGGAAACAGCTGCGACACTGAGGGGCAGAAAAGGTCATAATCCTTCTGGTCAGCTTCAGAAAGTAGGGAAGTCAAGCCTATGAGTGGTCTCTGCTGGGGACAGTCTGATCCTGTGGAATAAATCAGTCTGGAACGCAGATAATGCCGGCAGAATAAAATCTTTGAGTGAAAGGTACAGAAGCTCTTCCTAGCTGTGGACTCGCAGTCATACATCCCCTTGGCTTCCTTCCTCTCCAGTAGCATTTAACTCTCAGTCCCTCCTCAGTATTCCTATCTTTGCCTGCTTTTGAAGAAAGGCAGCTGACCTCTGTAGTCTTGATTTTGCTTCTCTTATGCTATGTATTTCACACAAGAGCCTGCCTAGATCATCAGTTACATATATTGCCGAAAAGGGCTTCTGGCCTTCCAAAGGTGCCACCCTACAAATGGGTAAGATCAGCAACCACCCACTCACACATACTCACTATGGCGGCTTCAACCTTTTGGTACGGCCTGCCTGAGGAGGTCAGGGAAGCTTCCACGTTTCTATTATTCTGCAGCATGCACAAAACAGAAATGTTCAAATGTTCCAGGAGGACACTGTAGCCACACTGCCATGAATATTCTAGGTATCATCTGGATTTACTGCAATTGTAATTCCACTTCAAGGGGTGGGATATGCAAACTACTAGCCCCAATGGTGAGTCAGGAATCCAGACATTTTTGGTAGACCTCAAACAACTGAGTTATTTAATTTACTTTATTATATTTATACCCCGCCCTCCCCGCAAACGGGCTCAGGGCGGCTTACACAGGCACAAAGAGCCAGTTTGGTGTGGTGGTTAAGTGCGCGGACTCTAATCTGGGAGAACCGGGTTTGATTCCCCACTCCTCCACTTGCACCTGCTGATGTGACCTTGGGTCAGTCACAAGCTCTGGCACAGCTGTAACCTGAAAGAGCAGTTTGTGTCAGAGCTCTCTCAGCCCCACCCACCTCACAGGGTGTCTGTTGTGGGGAGGGGAAGGGAAAGGAGTTTGTAAGCCGCTCTGAGACTCCAAGTGAAGGGCGGGGTATAAATCCAATCTCTTCTTCTTCTTCTTCTTCTTCAAAGAATTCCATATAGATAAACCAGTTAAAATTCCATATAGATAAACCAGTTAAAATTTAGGTCCATCGGAGCACGACAGTTGAGAACAATGGTCAACTAAACCAGCTAGCCTTCACCTTTTCCTTCTTAGAGGATGGTGCAAATAGTCTCTGTTCAACGTAAGATTTACATGCAAAGTGGGGAGTTAAAAGACTGTGCCCCCCCTTAATTAGCACTAGACCTTTCTTTGCCTAGGCTTTCCCTTAAGTCTCTCTGCTTTTGCAGCTGTGAAGTCGTTTCCCTGTTCAGGGACCCTGGGATTGCAAAGGACTTCATGCCTCATCAGCAGCTTCCCCTCAGGTATCTTTAGGGAAAACCTGAGTTTATTTCCACTTATCTGAAAACAACCACAGGGACTGCTCTCATCCCGCCCCAATCGTCAGATTCAGCTTGGATGAAAAGTGCTTTCTACCAGTGCTCAGGGAGGGTTACAAGCACATTTCAAGGAAAAATACAGCTGCATAACCTCCTGGAACAACCAAGGATCCTGTCTGATTCTCACAACTCATTCCCCTCGCTGTGAATTTGGTTGTTACCCTTTGGCTTCTAACAGCAGTCAACCAGCAAGTTAGGTCCTGCTAGCATTTCTCATAGTCAAAGGCAAGAGCAGCTGCTACTCCTGTTTAAGTTACTTTCACACATACGTGCTGTTCAAAGGGTAGCAATAGCAGAGTGGTAATTGCACAGCTCTGCATGATTTCTCTATCTTAGCAATTTGGTCCTCGACAACGGTGCTCATGCCCGTCTTTGATGCGCAGCACAAGAGCAGGTGAAGCCCATCCCCACTCCATTTAGTATGTGTTGGTGCGGCAGTGCTCAGAATCTGCCTGGCTGCCACCCGTTTAAGTAAGAGGACCTGGACAGCTTAGGCTAACCTGATCTCATCAGAACTCAGGAGATAAGCAGGGTCAGCCCTGTTCAGTACTTGGATGGGGAGCCACCAAGGAAGTCCAGGATCACTGCGGAGGCAGGCAGTGGCAAAATACCTACGAACTTCTCTTGCCCTGAAAACCTAGAGGTCGCAGACAAAAGAGGGATTCCCAGCATGTAACTGCAGAAAACAGCAGAAAGACACCAAGGGAAGACCATCAAAGATTATATACACTTGAAATGTCTGAGTATATGATATATTGAATAAGTGTTTAAATTAGAAATAAACGTCTATAATGAGTTGGTGGTCCATAATGCAAAACGAATACAACGTAATGCCAAATATAATATGTGCTCCTCTGGATCTGGTGGGGCTTTTAGCCTGCTTTTCCATCTCCCAGCCACAGCCCAATTCCTGGCTTTGCTCCCCACCCCCAAGCCACCCTTTCAGGAGTGTGAAGCCTGACCAGAAAAGAGCAGGTACTCATTTGCATATTAAGCAACACATCCCTAATGTAGCCAATCCTCCAAGAGCTTACAGTAGCTCCTGTAAGAAGAGCTCTGTAAGCTCTTGGTGGATTGGCTACACTCGGGGGGTGTGGCCTAATATGCAAAGGAGTTCCTGCTACAAAAAGAGCCCTGAAAGAGCACCGTGAAAGAGAGTTTGGGATGTACATCATGCCCATGAGCCCCTTTTGGGCACTGAGTCAGAATTTAACAGTGCAATCCTAAGCACGGTTACATCCTTCTGAACCCATTAATGGCCTCGGATGGGTGTAATTCTGCTTAGGACTGCACTGTAGGCTGCCTGTTTCTTCAGCGGTCCAGCTGGATCAGGCCAAGTGACTGAATGCTATGGCAGACGTTGTGATGGGCTCGAAGGATTGAAGGGCAGTAGGGCATGTCAGTTGATGGGTGTCACTGATGCACACCCAAGCCTGGCACTGGACTTGCTCTCCAACTAGTCCCAGTTCAACTGCACCCCTGCAAGGCAAGGGAGCTTCCATGCTGAGGGAAATGGTGTGGTGTTTTTCAAATTCTGGAATAATTCTCTTGTGAGGTTGTGTTGAGACAGGCAGGCCCCTTTACTCCACAACTTAATTGTTTTGAAGTTCCTTCTGCACGCCAGCCATTGATTATTTTCCATGGCCACAAGCTAGGGACTCCTTGCGCACTTATTCCTCATAACTCTGAGTTGCACGTGGAGTTGTACTTCATTCGAACCACTTAACCTGAAAATATGGGGTGGAATGCAAAAGATTCATTCTGCTAACATTGGAACATTCCTCTGATGCACTAAGGTTTTCTCTGGTGGAAGAGGTGTGTTCTACCAGCGGACAACTGCACTGCTGGGAGAACTGTTGGACTGGGCTGCTAACTTTTATATATTTGCTTCCCTAGTCTATTACTGGAGATACCCTCTCCTGTAGAACAACAGAAACATGCACTTACTTGGGTTAAACATGCTAGACTACGCACACAAACACACACATACAAACAATTTTCCATATACTATTATCCTATTTCATTAAGTCTCTCCCTTCTACCTCACACCCTTTTATCTGTAAGATTATTAAACAAATTTAAATGTATATTTAAAATGGTACAATGCAAATGAATTTAATTTACAGACAGGTTACATAATAAAGACAATGATATCATGGTTAGCAAGCTAAAAACACGAAGCCTGGGCCACGACCATTACCACCTTAGATTACAAGACTATAAAATCGATATTTTAAAAACATTCTCTTTCCCCTCCAGCTGGTTAAGCGTTTGGCCTTTCTGCATGATTAGTACATGAGTACATCATCCACATTAACTGCTGTGTGATACCCCCTCTAGTGCTCCTTTCAATACCAAGATTGTGACAAAACAGATAGGGGTGTGAGAGAGTAACAGATTTGCTACAGGGAGACAGCTATGGCACTGCAATACCCCCTTTTCTAGATGAAGGGAGAGGGGAAGCACCTGGCTGCCAAAGAATGAAAGAGTAGAAAACATGCATGACCAAGACAGCAGGGGAAGGCTTACAGCTGTTCATCTATTCTTTTGGTAAAAAAATTAAGCCAGCCAGGAATTAAAACACAACCAGCACACAGTATGGGCCCAGGTGTGTGTTAGAGCTCATTACTAATCACATCACAGTTTGTGCCAGCAACGAACCTTTGACACTGAAAACACATTTCAGTCTCAATAACACTTCATGTATTATCCGAAGACAGAACGTCACGTTCCCTCAAAAACACTGGATATGAATACTGGGAGATCTCCATTTTGAGGGGTGCCTGCCAATCATTTTTAGAAAGTGGGGCTTTTGCCCAACAAGGCTTCTGATTGGCTGTGCTGATTTTTAACGGCAGTGCTTTGGCGGCAGCGGCCATCACAGCATAAGAATCTTTACTGTGTGACTAAAGTAAGGCGCAGCAACCAATTTGTGGTGGCTCGGCTTCCCGCAGCAGCCATTTTGTGACTGTGCCCACTGCATTGTGTTAGAATTCCAAAAGTGCCCACAGGCTCAAAAAGGTGGGGGACACCTGACTTAGTCTCAATAACACAGAGTCTAGTGGCATCTTAAATACTGAAGAATGCATTGTGGCATAAGTTTTCATGAGACTAGAACCTACTTTGCCAAATGCACGATGTCACGCATCTGATAAAGTCGGCTCTGAATCATCACGTTTTATGCCACATCTGTTATTTTTATTTATTCTGCTTTATTTGTACCCCTCCTTTCTCCCCAGTGATGTAGCATACATCATTCTCCTCTCCACCATTTTATCCTCACAAGAATCCTGTGAGGCAGGTGGGACTGAGGAGTATGTGACTGGCCCAAGATCACCAAGCCAGTTTCCGTAGCAAAATAAGGATTCAAACCTGGTTCACCCAGATCCTTGTCCAGGGATGGCCAAACTTGCTCAACTTAAGAGCCAAATAGAATAAATGCTAGATGTTTGAGAGCCACAAGACATGAACAAATATTACATGTTTTTTAAAAATATATATATGCAAATTTGCTTTTTATTAACATTAAACGAGCCTGCAAAAAATAAAAGGGGTACAAACAGGTATTAATAATGATATTTATCTGTCCAATGTTTGTCTGATGGAGAAAAAGAGAGGTGGAAAGAAAGAATGAAAGAAGTGGAAAGAGAGAGAGAAACAAAGAAAGCAAATAGATGGGAGGGAGGCGGAGGAAGGAAGAGGAGGAGGGAGGAAGAAAAAGTACGCCTCCCCCTCACTTCCCCAGCTGCCCTGCAAAGAGCTGCACAATAGATGTGAAAAAGCCACATGTGGCTCCCGAGCCGCAGTTTGGCCACCACTGTCCTAGTCCAATGCTCCACATCGCACTTGCCTTTACATGCCACTGGACTCTGGGTTACTCTGGTGGCAGCCACTTAACACAGCTCCTCCTTTGGAATTTATTTTTGAGTGATTGAGTTTGACAGAGGCATACAGCAGGAGCTAGGCAAGGTCCATCAAGCCAGAACTGCATAGATCATAAGGAGCAAGCTTGATACCTAATACTTGGAGAAAGAGATTCCCCCACCGCATAGCAGAAAGGAAAGACAGCTTGACTCCCTACCCCACCCACCACTCCTCTAATGGATCTCACCTGGACAACAGATTCCTACAGTACATGTTACAATTCTTTTAAAATGGCTTTGGGAATGTTCCATGTTTAAAAACAAAGCATCCACATTCTACTTTATCCCCATCATCTCTTCCTCCGGTGACGCACTGACATCTAGTGAGAGAAAAAAGGGAACACACCAATAAATACCTGATCTCTGTTTACTTTTTAAAAATTCTTCTTTATTCATTTTAAAGATATGGCTATTGGCTTCTACTGCTAATAAAGTAACAGGCCACCCCATTCCCCCTCCCAAAGATGTATACATATTTAATGTTTAGCTTGGTAGTGGTTTTACAAGTTGCAGTCTTCTTCTGTAGTATCTCCTGAGTGCCTTTTGTTGTTGTTGTTCAGTCGCACAGTCGAGTCCGACTCTTTGCGACCCCATGGACCAGTTCACGCCAGGCCCTCCTGTCTTCCCCCGTCCTCTGAAGTTGGCTCAATTTCATGTTCGTTGCATCTATGACACTGTCTAACCATCTCATCCTTTGCCGTCAGCAAAACGTTAGCATTTTTCAAAACCCCACATGCAAAGATGATTTAGTGTAATGGCCTAAGATCCTAAACCCGGGGTCCCCAATATGCTGCCCTTGGGAGCCATGGTGCCTGCCAATACCTTTCCTGGTGCCCACCACGTTTTTAGAATGTGGGCGGGCCCAAGTGGGGATCTCACCCAGCAGGGTTTCTGATTTGCCACTGAAGAGCCAATTGGCGATGCACATTAAAGTAATGTTGTTTCTGTGGCAGCTGCCTTCACTGGGTTTTATTCTCTCTCACTCCCCTTTCCCAGGAAATGTTTTACATTACCCCTCTTCACCCCTGCATTTGGGCTTCCTCTGTATGTTTGGCTCCTCCTCCCATGCCAACCATTTTGGGTTTGTGCCCACCACCCTGTGTCAGAATGGCAAAGGTGCCCACAGGCTCAAAAAGGCTGGGGACCCCTGCCCTAAACATGACTATAATATGTAATCCTTAACACTGTGTATACCAAATAATCCAATTGGGACTGTGTCACTGTCTCAAAAACCTTTAGCCCTAAGCTCTACCTTAAAAACATAACCAACTCCCTTACACTCAAAGGGGCAGTCTGTGTTTAGAATGTTGCCTCTTTACATTCTTCTATGGATTACTTCCTTGCATTCTTAAAGCAAGCATTTAACCAAATACATTTGATTGTTCATGTCACCCCTCCATTCTGAAGTTTTACAGTCAATGAAGATTCCAGCATGTTTTTGAAAATATAAAGGAAGCAAAGCAACGCATCCCTCCCCCTCCTCTGACAATGAAAGACACAAAACACAAGAGCTGTTGATAAAATGAATTTATTGTGGTAACCCAGCTAATGCAAGCTGCACATTAATTAACAAATCCTTCTTCTCTAGAAGAGTAAATTACCAAAATCGGGTGCTTTTCCCAATGGGGAAACAAATTCAGAGCAAAATCTTACGGTATTATACAATGTAGAGTGTAATCCATTGCAGAGTTACTCCACTCTAAACCCACTGATTTCAGTAGGCCTAGGCCGGAGTAACTGGGCACAGTTCTATAAATTCTATAGAACAATTCTATAATATACTAATTCTACAAAACAAAATCAGGACACCATGAACAGTGCCTTACTCTAGCTTAAGTCGACTGATTTCACAGGACTGCCCTGTTAGTAAGTCTCCTATTAGACCTGAACATTTCCACTTCTGAGGCCAAGGTTTAATACAAGAAACACCAGGCAACTGGAGGCAAAGGTGGGGGGGGGGGAGCTGGAGTTTAAGGAAAACAATAATTATATCCCGAAATCCTTCTCATTTTGTTGGTTTGCTTTTTGAACCAAAAAAGGAAGAAATTGCTTTCATTCCACTCTTGTCAACTTTTGCCAGAGCTTTCTGAGCAGCTGACATCTTGTTTGCCTGTAAAACAAAGGGAAAAAATTAGGGTATATTGTCTAGTGGACTTCTATTAGCTATCCTAATTAAGCCATTCCTACTTATGGTATTTTCCTGACACACAAAACAGACAGTTGCACCATTGCAGAGTCAAAGCAGAAGAGAAAAGAAACAATGGCACAGTGGTGAATGTTTTATATTACGTTTTACTCAAAGATCCCTACGTGTTTCACGTGCTGTTTCATCACGGGATCTGTAAGGCAACCGCCTCTCAGTACAGATCCCCAGACAAAGCAGTGTGCAAAACATGTAAGGATCTTTGAGTGATACATAATAAAAAAATTCCCACTGCCTTGTTTTCTTTCTTCTCTGATTTGATTCTTCACTTTCCCCATACACCAGTTGCACAGATCTCTTAGCACCTGTACCTGAATGAAAACACACACCTGATCTTACCATTATGCACTTAATTTTAGCACTTAAAAGAGAACATGAGAGACTACAAACTCACTGGACTATAAGCTGCATGCATGGGAACTCTATGAAAAAAAGGGTTCATCATTTGCTTGCAATTCTACAGGCTTCCTTGAGTTTAACTCAGTGAGACATGCCTCCAGGAAAACAGCAATAGACTGATCTGAAAGTCCTTAAAATGCAATGCTCACATGACCAGTCTCCTACATAAATATGGATTCTGATTGTGTGAAAGAAACCAGCAAAATGAACTGCTTCTAAAAATCACACTTCAGGGTAACTTGAAAATTCAGTGTATAATTTATCCCTTTTAAAAAGTGAATGCTTTGAAACTGCCTTTTTCCTACTTTTATCTGAATCAGGTTTTTCTTTAAAAAAAAAAAGTCTAATTCTTTAATGAGATTACCTTGTCCTTGTGTCCCTGTATACTAGTTTGCTAACAATTACCATATGCTTAAAAACTAGTCTTGACCTGGATAGCCCAGGTTAGCCAAATCTTGTTAGATCTCTAAAGCTAAGCAGGGTTGGCCTGGTTCAGGGATGGCCAAACTTGCTCAACTTAAGAGCCACATAGAATAAATGCTAGATGTTTGAGAGCCACAAGACATGGAACAAATATTACATGTTTTTCTTTTAAAATATGCAAATTTGCTTTTTATTAACATTAAACGAGCCTGCAAAAAATAAAAGGGGTAAAAACAGGTATTAATAATAATATTTATCTGTCCAATTATATTTGTTTGTCTGATGGAGAAAAAGAGAGGTGGAAAGAAAGAATGAAAGAAGTGGAAAGAGAGAGAGTGGAAAGTGGAAAGAAGTGGAAAGTGGAAAGAAGTGGAAAGAGAGAGAGTGGAAAGTGGAAAGAAGTGGAAAGAGAGAGAGTGGAAAGTGGAAAGAAGTGGAAAGAGAGAGAGTGGAAATTGGAACGAGAGAGTGGAAAGTGGAAAGAGAGAGAGAGAAACAAAGAAAGCAAATAGATGGGAGGGAGGTGGAGGAAGGAATAGGAGGAGGGAGGAAGAAAAAGTATGCCTCCCCCTCACTTCCCCAGCTGCCCTGCCAAGAGCCACACAATAGATGTGAAAGAGTCACATGTGGCTCCCGAGCCGCAGTTTGGCCACCCCTGGCCTAGTTAGTACTTGGGTGGGAGACCGGGGTCCCTATGCAGAGGCAGGCAATAGCAAACTACTTCTGAATCTCTCTTGCTTTGAAAACCCTACAGGGTCGACATAAGTCGCCTGTGCCTTGGCAAACAAACAAAAAACAAGACCACCACCACAAAACCAAACCAAAATAACTAGTCTTGAGTACTTTCATATAAATGGGAGAAATCAAGGTAACAGACAGTATTCTAAAAAGTAGAATGTTATTTCTCTCTTGTGGAGTATACTTATGCTTCTCTCCTCCACCACCACCATTAAAAAAGTATCTTCTAAAAACACAGAACTGGTTGCTGTAGTGTAAAGGGAGAAAACCCATATACATCACCTACCTTTTTGCTTTTGAGGTCAATTGTATTAAACTTGGTATAATCTTCCTCGGCTTCCACGGGCGCATCTGACACTTTCCTTTTCTGCAACGTTAGAGTGACGGTTTGTGCTATAAACCACAACTGTAGTATTTTTGCATGTGGTTCTTCAAAATATATTAAAAAGGACCTCTGACTTGTGCAGTCATATAGACAGAAAGGGATGAACATACTCAGCCAAAGATCATAGAATCATAGAGTTGGAAGGGATCTCCAGGGTCATCTACTCCAACCCCCCCGAAAAATGCAGGAAATTCCCAAATACCCCCCCACACACACACACTCCCAGTGACTGCTGTTCCATGACCAGAAGATGACAAAAAAAAAATGATGCACTGGCTCTGGACTTAATTACTGTTCCTGAGTCCTGCCAAGGTGGTGCGGGCTCATACTGCTCCTGGCTGAAGCTTAGATTCTCAGGTATATGGGGGAGAATTCATATAAGGACCATGACATGCCGGGGGGGGGCTAGCCTTCCCTGCCATGCCCTTTTTCTGACCTGAAACAGCCCCAGGGAAGCTAGTTTTTTTGTCCTGTTAGTTATACTGACAGGCAGGGGTCGTTTCGTAGAAAATGAGCTAGGGGACCTCATTAGCATAACTCATTAGCATATGCCACACCCCCTGACATCACCGGAAGTATGTCATGAGGCCACACCCCCTGAATGCGCTCGCCCGCTTCGGGAGAGGGGATCAAAGTGTAATATAAGCCTCCTCCGAGACTTGATCACACCAATCTCAACTCTCTCTTGGGTCTTGATGCCTGCCAGTCATTCCCCCTGCCTAGGGGAAGCCGCGTTGGACCAAAATACAGTCCAAACTGCTGTAAGGAACACCCATCCACCCTGAGCACTTACAGGGTGCGTCAAATCGCCATTTTACCCCGACCGGAAGCAGGGGGCGGGGCTTCGTCGTGTGCCCCGCACCTCCGCACCTCACCCAGGGAAACTGCATTCCCCCCCCGAAATGACCCCTGCTGACAGGCTACATGAGGGGCGGGCAACCCCTGGAGTGGATGCCCACAGCAGTATGCCAGAACATTTTGCTTGACCCCCACGGCCAGATCTCCACTCAAGCAACTGAGGCACTGGCAGCACTACTAGGGCCAGCAGTACAGGAGAAAGAAACAGGCATGGCTTATGTCTGTTTCTGACTCCCACAACTGCAACGCCACCAGCTGAGCCCAAGGTGAGACACTGGCAGTGCCCCTGGAGCTCGGGCTGCTCCAAACAACTAAGGTCAAGTACAACCCTTGTCTCCCCACCGGCATTTTGTTAGCTGGCACGCCCACCTCTTCAGACGTAGATACTGTGTTTTGTCACTCCTTGGGCCCAAAGGATTGCCTACCCTTGGGTTACATGCAAGGTTTCCCAACAAGGCAAACAGTGGCTCCTCAGGGGTCATCTCCAGGTCATGAAAATGGTATGTGTATATATATATGCTTTGAAGACTACAACTGTCATTGCATTTATGCCAGGGTAACATAGGCGTTCCATGCACCTCGGCTTTTAGTCATGCCGGCCACATGACCATGGAAATGTCTTTGGACGGCGCTGGCTCTTCAGCTTGGGAACGGAGATGAGCACCGCAACCCTAGAGTCGGATTCGACTGGCTTTCGAGCAAGGGAAACCTTTACCTAACATAGACTATTGCTAGAGACATTTTTGTAAGGCCTTGCAGCATCACGTGTTGTCTTCTACAGCCAGATGTCCATGGCTGGATAATGGTTCTCAATAAATTTCCCCATGTGTACTGAAGCTTTGGGCCCAGATTCCTCAGCAGTACTTTTTGTTAGCTTGCATGATACAATATCACTCACAGTACAGGTAATTCAAAAAGACTCTCAGCTGGTATCACTTGACTTCTGGGCTTTGCATTTTCAATTTAGCAAATATGGCCAACATAATTTTTTTAAATTAAGATTTTATGTTTAATACTAAAATTTATACTAAATGTCTTCAGTGGCACCCGCCCCAGTGGCCCCTTTCCTGGCACCCACCAAGTGTTTCCAGAAAGTGCGCAGGGCCAGGTGGGACTTGCATTAAAGTATTTGGAATCTGTTCATCCAATGGAGTTCCGTGAAAGTCTTATTACATCTGTCAGTATGTTTACAGAGGAAAACGGAGTGCCACTGCTGGAACAGCTACCTGCGGGGATTACAGACTTCCAGATGTTCTCCATTAAGAGTGAACTGTGTAATTTATTTAGTCATTTGATTTGAAGGGTGCCTTATCCCAAACACTATGGGCAGGTAACAACTTGTTACCCTTATGAACATGTAATTAAAGAATAAGACAGGTACCAAAAGGCTGCCTGAAGTGGAAAGAATCGTCCATTCAGCCACTAAATATGCAACAAATCCAGGTAGAAGCTACATCTGCCTACAAAACCTGCTCAAGCGATAGTCAACACAAGCACTGAAAAAGAATGAACCGGAGGTTTACTCTAGGTAACAAGGGTGGGGGGAAAACAACATAAAAACCTTCTTAATTGCTTGTTATGGGGGCAAGGGACAGCCACTTCCCCCAGCAGGGGTGCCAGGGGCAAAAAGGGGTGATAAAGGTGGACAGCCTGATGTTGCAACTGGATGACAAGGCAGCGACCCATGGAAACAGATGGTGCCCCAAGGAAACTGAAACCAAACAAAACCAGCCCTGCTCTCTCTCCTTTTTGCTTCCTGCTGTGAGTTAATCCCATATGGATTGTGAACATTTGACAGTTTTACAGCGTTTCTTCCAAGTTCCTCAAAAGTTGGACAGAACATGACATCTGAAATCATGAAACGGCAATAACGTGCAGTTTCGGGCCGGGCTTCATCGTATAAACTTTAGTCACCCACCAAAAGCAAGAGCTGTCTGGGCGGCCTCATCGTTTTGCAAAATGGCAGCATTTTGTGCTTTTCCGCCTAACGTTTAAAAGCATCCCTTTACTACTCACTACAAACAGAAGGAAAAATTTATTTCAGGACATTTCTGCCTTCCCATTTATCCAGTGACTTCTCAACAGCTCCGTCACAGTGTACGTGTTGATCCCTCTCCTGCCCCAAAATGGTGTGGAAGTAGTCGATGGCATCTGACCCCTGGCAGAGCCTTACCTTTGGCAGTGGCTCCTTTGGAGGAACGGCAACTTCTGGAAGTCTACAAGGCAAAAAAAAGTGGACTCTTGTCAATCTTTGCCATTATATTTTTACACGTACAGGGGGAGTTTGATCCTGTGGGCTGGTTCTGCACAGGGCATCTACCTGAAGGAGCACCTCTCCCCAAATGTGCCCCCGAGAGCTTTGTGCTCTGCTGGTTGTCCCCAGCCCAAGGGATGTCTGCTTAGCCTCAACCAGGGCCAGGGCCTTTTCTGCCCTGGCCCCAGCCTGGTGGAACAGGCTTCCATCTGAGATCAGGGCCCTGTGGGACTTATTAACATTCCACAGGGCCTGTAAAACGGAGCTGTTCCACCAGGCCTTTGGCTGAGGCGGTGGGCATCCAATAAAAAACTTGCTGCTGAAATTGAAACCGGCTACCTCAACATGGCCCAGACCAATAAGATCTTAGAGAACCAATAGCACCAGCTTGAAAATAATGTATATAATGAAATAGTGCAACCTGTTTTGTGTTGTCTCTTTTTAAATCTATGCTATTTTAAATTGTTTTTAATTAGTCTGTAATTTCTATTTATGTGTTTTAGAATCCTACTGTGATCTGCCCTGAGCCCACCTGTGGGGAGGGCGAAATATAAATTGAATTGAACAAACAAACGAATAAATAAATCTAGCAGAAGAACCTCTTTCACGAGCAGAAGGTGCCTTGGTATTTCGGTCATACAGAAATGGTGGGCAGGACAAGGATCAACGTTATTATGTTAAGCTGGGCCTTCACTGTGTAATGAAACTGATGGATCCTGCTTCTCAAAATGTAAAAAAACCCCCACCCTATATAATTAAGGGGTGGGAAAAAACTCCCAGTCACAGCAACTGTGTCAGAAAAGTTCCCCTGCCCATCACAGAGCCGTATTATATTTTTCACTCACCGTAAATATTTAGCTAGCATAGTACTCAGCTCTTCAGTAATATATTCCGATATTAAACCATGAGCATAGCGAATGTAGTCCTCTGAATGACAGAAAAATGAAATAAGATTGCATTTTAATCACATATCTCACCAAATAATTATCCAAAGTATGCTCAGTCTGCTTCCTTCTTTTAATCAGAAGCTTCACTTAGTCGTTCAGAACAGCTAGATCTGTCTGATTTTAACAGTGACAGAAGTTGTTAGCCGCCCATGTTGGTCCAAAAACAGAATCCAAACCTAGAACACAGTGTGCAAGCTTCTGGGTTCACCAGAACTCTTCAACAGGCTGGATCTTACAAAAGCAGAGTTATTAAAAGGGGGTGGTGGTGGTGCAGATGTCTCCTGATAGCATTCTGTGCTTTGTGCTCTTGTAGGCTTTAACTGACTTTACACTTCATGCATTGCCTTTCATTTTTATGCAGCAATGTTAATACTATGACCACTAAGTGATTCCTTGCTCTGAGTCTACAAGGGAACTGTGGCTCTTGCTTAATGTCTGAAAGATATAGGGACCATCACTGGCTTCTGTTCTTGTTTCTTTATGCAGAGAAACTGATGGACAGGAAGCTGTACGGCCCATGAAACGAAAAACGTCCACCTAGCTGAGCCTATGGGAGGGTGCTGCTCCAGCATCCAGTCCCCTTTCAGAGTGGGGGTGGAATATTGGAGGGAAGCACAGCAGGAAGACATTCAGATCTGCCTTAAAGAGAGAGTGCAGTGAAAGTTTTGCGTCCACCTCAGCAAAAGAGCAGACAGTTTGAAGAGTAGCTCTGCCTGGTAGCGTGGCAGAGTAGTTTAGCTCTGCCTCTGGAGGAGGACAATGTACCTAGTTGTGAGGCCTGTCTCTGGGAACTAGCAGACCATGTACCATTTACTCTGAATCTTGGGAAAAGGCAGGCTGGTGTGGGTGGTGTACTGTGCGATCCAACCTAGGGGCTAGTCTGTGACTGTTTGTACCTGTAAGGAGTAAAGAGAATTCAAACCACACTCTGAAGCCATAACTGGCTTAAACTTTTGTGCCTCAGCCAGGTTTCTGCTTTGACAATCTGGAGACCTGTGCTGCTGATCTGTTCTTCAAAACCAGACAGTAAATAAATAAATCTCCTTTGTTATTTACATACTACTCCTGCCTCAATGATCTCCATGTTCTACTTGTTGCCACAAAACTTACCTCATGGCAGCGAACCCAAAGCCTTTACACTTGCTGCCCTAAGAACATCTTGAACCTCAGTGGAATGTTTACAGTTTAAAATAAACCTAGTTCCACAAAATCATAGGAGGCTGTGTGGGTCCCCTTAGCTGGTAGAAAAGGCCTGACACAGACACCATTTATCACTTCTTGCTCCCCAAAAACAAAGATGCATCCCAACACCGGCACCATTTTAAATTTGCACACCCACTCAGCATTTAGCACAGAATGCTGGAATGAACAAGTAGATCATGACCTGAGACATTTGTTTCCCCCTCTACCTTCCTCTTTAAAACATTTCCTGATGAAAAATTTCTGGTGAACTTGAAAGTTTGCACACTATTGTGCCATTATTTACGTGGACTGCGGTCTTGTTTACAGATATTGCCAGCAAGAGAGATACTGCCAAAACACATTTCAGCATACAACCTCCTTTCTGGTAAGCTTACCACAGACAACAAACACAGCCCTGATAAATAACTATCATATGGAGAAGTGTGTGGAATAGCCTGGAGATCCCTGGTGGGGGGACTGTTTGGCTGCCAAAGCTGTAGCTCTTTTTTGGCACCACTAGGTGGTGAGCTATGCTTATTTTTAAACTGCTGTCACTTGCCTAAAGTCAACCAGCCAGCTTCAAGGGGGGAAGTGGGGAATCAAACCTGGTTCTCCAGATTAGAGTCCACCACTCTTAAGCACTACACTAAACGGGCTACCCTGTGAGGCAGATTAGGCTGAGAGTGTCTGACTGGCCCAAGGTTACCCAGGAAGCTTCCACAGCAGAGCGGGGATTCAGGCTTGGATTTTCTAGATCCTAATCTGACACTACAGTCACCACACTTTGGGTACCCACTGGAGAGAAAGGCAGTGTGTAAATGAATAAAAACAAATACATCATAGCATTCTGGAAATGTTAACACTAAGAAAAACGAAATTGTGGCTACAGCAAAACGGGTATTTGTGCTAGACAAGTCGTAGAGCCACCTGATAAAGCCAGGGCTGCATATTTGATTAAGCAAATTTCTTTCGGTTGTCATGGAATCTCCTTACCTTCTGTGGCACCAGCCAGCTTCTTACTGCTGATAAAAGTAGCAGACTGCACCTTTCCTCCTACGCTCACATCATGGTCCTTTAAGACTTTCACAGTCTGGTTAACCTGACAAAAGGCCAAAAATATTACCTCTATAAAATACACACATAAATGCACCATCAATTTTAATGCAAATCAGACCAACCCAGGAGTCACTGATTGACATTTATCTGGTCCCACCGAGACACGGGTCAGTGTCTCCTACAGGCATGCCTTTGAAATGAATAAGATCTACACAACAACAAAGAAACCCCAAACGATCCTGAAAAATCTCCACTGTTTTGAAGGCGACCTGCAAGAAAGTCCCTGGCATGCTGTGCTCACAGCATTATTGCTATCGTAACAGTGAATTCAGCAAGTTACTATTTTTTTAAAAAAACAAAGCTTGGTGAAGCCACAGTAACCAAGCTTTCCTCATTGCAACAAAGGTTCTACATGGTTGTGTCTCTACAGCGATTGAGCTATGGAAGTGCTATAGCACACTTGTCATGCTAATCAAGGGGCAGGGTACAGTGCTAAAAAAAATAGATACACAGGGAGGGGGAATCTGACATGACATTAGAGCCCCTCCCTATTTTAATAAAGTGAGTGGGGAAAAGTTTTAAATATGGAATTAAGGGCTTGACTCCTAAACCCTGTTTCAATAGCTCCCTTTTCTTTGTTGCAGAGGGAGTAATCCAAGGCCACACATTTCTATTCACGCAAGATCAATGAGGTTAATGCTAGAGGAACACCGCCCACAGCGGAGGGCTGCCTTAACAATGGATGAAGATGGCAGCAAGTGATAGGAAGGCTGAAGATCCAAGCCAAGGTCCATTAAACCCTTAAGAAACCAAAATGGGTGGGTTTGGCAATCCAGTGGCCGATCATCTATTAAGGGCCTCTTCTCCTCCAAGGTTTCTAATCAGTCACCTCTAACGCACCATCACTGCTTCAATCCTTGCCTTTAAGAATTCTGTTCCTTGCCACGATGTTCTGGAAGCTGGATACCTAATACCACAATTACAGTAAATTATACAAAATTTGTGATCCTATGTGAAGATTCGGAATTCATCTAAATCTTGAATCTGACGCACTGTTGAACTTCTGGGATTAAGCAGTACGCATGCCTGCTTTGAAAGGTGAAGTCAAAAAGTGAACCCTTGAACACTGTTGTCCTTTTATGACATTGCCGGTGCCGCACGGACTCAATCAGCAAGTGAGGGCCCTTAGAAAGCTCCTTGTTCTGACGGCTGGTGTCCTCTCAGAGTTTGTAAAGCAACTCTAGGGCCAGGTGTCAAAATACAGTTCAGGCACAAGGCAGACCACACTCACAGCTTCAAGTCCAAAGGGCAACCCAAGAACCAGGATACGAAGGTCCAGGCCAGGGTCAGAGACAGAGGACACTCCAGAGAGCAGAAGCAGCAAGGTCAGTAGCTAATGGATGAGTTGTTTCCAGACAGCCACTCCCTTCTCTGTTGCTTTTAAGCACCACGCTGCTCATCAGTCTGTACTGAGTCATACGCACGCAGGCTGCCTCAGATCTGATCCTGCAAGCATCCTCACTGTTGGTGCTGTGCCGGTGCTGTGCTGCCAGGTGGGCACTGCACCTTCTGACTTGAAGGTCTCTCCTCATCTTCCTCCTACGACGTTCCCGAGGCTCTGGTGACTGGCAGTTTGTGTGTGTGCGTACTGAGTGGCAATTGGCTACCTGTTGCCGGCTCAGGGCTGGAAGGCTGAGGGGCCAGGGCTCTGGTTCCTTGTCTGAGGATCTGGGGGTCTGGCCCCTCAGAGACTGCCTCCTCCTGCAGCACATCTGCCGCTGGCTGTGGGTTGGGATCAGGTCCACTGGCTGCCTCAGAGGAGTCTTCAGCATCTCTCTGCTCTGCTGGGCTCGGCTGGTCCACAACACTGCTGTTTCCTTAACAATGCTATAATTTTATTTATTATTATTTTATTTCTTAAGTTCAACTTTTTAGGCTGCCCTTCCCTACAAGCAGGGCTCCGGGTGGCTTACATAAAAAACAAAACATAATAATACTTTATCAAATAACATTAAAACCTACTGAAAACAACATATTTCAAACAATACAATTTCACTATCTGAGATGGTGAAACATTTCTGTTCCCACCAGCCCCCCTAGGTGAAGGGGTGTCGAGGGCTGGGTAGGAGGGTTTGAGAGTGCCAACTGTTGCTGTCCTCAACCGAAGGCCTGGCGGAACATCTCTGCCTTGCAGGCCCTATGGAAAGGTAGTAAGTCTTATAGGGCCTGGATAGTTTCTGGTAGAGAGTTCCACCAGGCAGGGGCCAGTGCTGAAAAGGCCCTGACCCTAGTCAAGGACAGCCGGACCTCTCTCGGGCCGGGGACCTCAAGCAGATTCTTATTGCTGGAGCGTAACACTCTTCCAGGGACATATTGAGAGAGGTGATCCTGAAGGTTTGTGGGTCCCTGACCACTAAAGGCCTTAAAGGTCAATACCAGAACAACACCAATTTTACTCTACGTCCTTGCCCTTCAGTGCAACCTAACACAGATAACAATCGGAAGCCAACAGTTCAGAAAAGAAAAGCCACCTTGGTAGCTCTGACTGAGAAGAAAGGCAGGATATAAATATTGTACATAAATAAATAGAAAGCCTTAATGATCAAGATCAAACATGAAAGCCAGGTACCTTCTTTGTTAGCCACTTCAATGTTTTCTCTTCACTATATTTATAAAATTTCCTACCACCTGTTTCTGGGATTTAAGGGGAAGGAAAAGTTATTTGGTTTGCACTTCCACGACATCAAAGGAAAACAAAACTAGAGCAGGGAATATATTTCAGCATATATTTAAGGGTACCGAGGCAAGTGGATGAATTATGCTGTGCATGGCTCAAAGATTCAGAATTTCAATTTATATTCCTGGGGTTTATAAGTGCAGAAAGTATCTTACACAGTTGTCATTTCACACATTTTTTAAAAAGCCCTGTATTTAAAAGACATCCTCCTCAAATTACTGGAAAAAATGTAAAATCAAATGGTCCTTCTATTCTTTATGGAAGCAATGCCCAAAACATAGGGACTGAAGTATTCTCAGAAATTACCAAACTTATTCATACCGATATCTACCCAGACCCAAAACAGGACTAACTACCATGTCTGCCTCTTTGGATTAAACACGCACTTGCTAAATTCCATTCTTAAATCTTGTACCTTTTTCTTCCACAATGTGATGAATAGACTTTGAGATATCTGTACACTGTAACAACATTGTGCAGGACGAGAACTCTGCATCTACCAGAATTTGATCCAGTGGCTGGAACTTCCCTTGCTGCAAAAATAAAACAAAACACAGTGAAAAGATCAAAGCAATTTAGAAGGACATGAACAGAAGCATTTTTGATCCCCAGATAATTTAATTCCAAGGCGTGAGAAAGATGGATCATTTACTCATATCAAATGATGTTAAAGAATGAAAGAGGAGCAAACGTAAGCAGCCACTTCAGACTAGTTAAATGCAAAAAGATAACAGGGTTCTTCAGTTAAAACAAAAATTATTTTAACTACTGCTTTATAAAAGGACAGTCTTTTAAAGTCCTGTTCATTCTGGAAGTGCACAGGAGAAGGAGGGCAGAGGAGAAGGAGACCAGAAGGCCAAGGATCCCCCAAGTTCAATCCCGTAGTGCCAAACTGTGGCTCGTTTCATTTAATTACTTCATTTACACCCCATTTTTCCTCCAGTACGGCTCACAACATCTCCCCCTTCTTTAACTCATCCTCACAAGGTAGGTTAGGCTGAGGCTGGCCCGAGATCACCCGGTGAACTTTCATGGAGTCGAGATTTGAATCTGGGTCTCCCCGTTCCTAGTCTGGACACTTAACCAACTCCACTAGGCTGGTTTGCCGTTATGTGAGAAGCAGACCGACAGAGGGTCTTGGAGAACGGCCAAAATGATAGAAATCTCTCACTTATCTCACAATACGGCAAGTAGAAGGGGCTTTGGGAAGTTCCCATACTCCGAAGAATTCAGCCTCTAGTTCAGGGATCATCAAGATGGTGCCCATGGGCACCACGATGCCTGCCAGTCCCTTTCCTGGCACTCACCCAGTGTTTTTAGAAAGTGGGCAGGGCCAGGTGAGGCTTTTGCCCAGCAGGGTTTCTGATTGGCTGTGCAGATTTTTTAAAAATGTCGGTATTGGCAGCAACTGCCATCACAGCACAAGGGTATTCACTGTGTGACCGAAGGTAAGTCATGGCAGTTTTTGTTTTGTGACTGGCTCTATCTCCTACAGCAGCTGTTTGTGGCAGCCATTTTGTGCCTGTGCCTGCTGTGAATTCCAAAGTTGCTCACTGGCTCAAACAGGTTAGGGACCCCTGCTCTAGTTGCTAATTATATTGCTGACTCCTCCAGTTACCTACCTCTTTCTCTGCCTTGGCAAGGTAAAAGAGCACAAGAAATAAGGGATCCACTCGGGTTACAAAGAATAGGCGCCCATCTGAAGGTAGAAGAACAGTTGTCAGAATTAGAATTGCAGCACATACTTTTTTCATGAAACTTAGTGATGAAGACGCCTTTTGGGAAAATGGACCTTCAGTCTGTGTCTCAGCTCTTCCAAAAGATTTTAACCAAATGAAAATGCTTCTTGCACGTAAGACCAGTTAAAATCCCAGAGACTAATAAAAGAGGTCCCCCCCCCACATATTTTCAAGTGATAAAAAATAAATTCAAAATGAAATAATAACATACTCTTTAAAAAAAACCCCACTTTCGCTAGGGTACAAAGATAACGGCTGTGTTACTATTTCCCATATGTTTCCTCATCTATTACTCCAGGCAACTTTGACATTAGAAAACAATTCAACAGTGACATTTAAAAAACCAATCTAACTTTTGGAAGTCTGTGCTGTGAAACAACCGTACGGAAAAAGTCTCATTGCCAAGCTGATATCCAGCAAAGCTGTCGTTCACCAAGCAGTGCTTGTCGCCAGTGCCCTTTGCACTAAACAACTGGGGAATTTTTCATTCTCACCCTTTCCTCATAACTCAAGCCACAACGAAAGTAGGAATGCAACTGAACTCAGTGAATCCGTTTCCTTCAATCCATCCCCCCCCCTCCTCTGCCAAAACTGACATTATTGAGGTAGCATGAAGAAAACCATGGATGAGAAGACTTGACAGTTGTGAAAATGTACTTGAAAGGCAAGCAGTGTTTGTGATAAATGGCAGGGCACTAAGCGTGGATTCTTTAGCTGCCTGGTGCATGCATGCACACACACACACCTTGCCTTTATATACCTCATTCCCTCATTCTGCCCAAAACCACAAACTTGAGTTTCAGGAAAACAAAAAATGGCTGCGGTCACACGGAGCATTAGGCACGCTAGAGGGACGGAAGATAGGCGGATTTTCCGGGCGTGATCTCACCGCCACATCTGGGAAACGTCGAGCTCCCATGGCGAACCCAAGGCTTCCCGCGGAAGATGCGCGGTAAAAAACTAGTACCTCGGAGGTACTAGTTTCCTGAAACCGCGGGGCAAGGGCGGGTGTCTGATCGCGTTTCCGGTGGTAGTTCCGGCGCCTGCCCATGTCCCCTCAGAAAAAGGTGGGTTTTTTTTATAGTCTCCACGGATACGCACAAGCACCCAAGGGAGCATGCGCACATTTGAGTTAAAAAAAAACCATTTGCCCCGCGCCCCGCTTCTTTGCCGCGCCACAGGACTGTGGAGTGATCGGCACCTCCGGCAGGGCACTAAGTGTGGATTCCTTAGCTGCCTGGCGCATGCATGCACACACACACACCTTGCCTTTATATACCTCATTCTGCCCAAGACCACAAACTTAAGTTTCAGGAAAACAAAAAATGGGTGGTATCCAGCCAACTTTCCCACTCAGTCTCACCCAATTCCTTTCTTTCCTATCGCTCCTATCCCACATGGCTTTCATACACATACGTTCTATGATCCCTAGCATAGCCTTTTTTGGGTGGTCCTCCCCTTCCTTTTTCGCCAGCAATAAGGCACGCGAAGTGTCTTCCTCCATCACATCCCTGTTCCCCGCTAGAGTACTTCGGCCTCAGGAATCTGTTACCTGAAAAGCTATAAAACAGCAGTGCTTGAACATCATTCACAGGAGGAAAGGTTGACAGGCCTTTCCGTTCCACTCACCCTGCTGGACCGCCTGACCAATGAACCATGAACGGTATTCTTCATGGAAAGCTTTTACTTCAAAGAGCTGACGAGCATCACTGCTGAACAAGTACAAGGCTGCTTGTCCTGTTTTTTTAAAAAAGGAAAACAAATAGGTTTTCATTGGCTTGCTCCAATCCAAAGAGCTGGGGAAAAATCCCAGACTCTGAAAAAGTACAGAGGAGGGCAACCAAGTTGCAGCACCTTCCGTATGAGGAAAGGCTGAAGAGTCTGGGACTTTTCAGTTTCGAAAAGAGTTGATTGGGTGGGTGGGGGGAGAGAACATGACAGAGGTTTATAATATTGTGCATGGGGTGGAGAGAGAGTGGACAAAGAGAAATTTTTCTTCCTCTCCCAAAATACCTGAATTTGAGGGCATCCAAGGAAGCTGATGGGCAGTAGGTTCAGGATGGACAACAGGAAATACTACTTTACACAGAGAGTGATTAAAACATGGAATTCGCTGCCAGAGGATGTAGTGATGGCCACAGGTACAGACAGCTTTAAAAGGGGATTAGATAGATTCATGGAGGATAGGTCTATCAGTGGCTACTAGCCAATGGTGACTGAGGGGAACCTCCACATTCAGAGGCACTAATCCTCTAAATCCCAAAGCCAGAAGGTAACATCAGGGGAAGGCCTTGGCCTCTATGCCCTGTTGTTACCCTTCCAAAGGAGCTAGTAGGCCACTGTATGAGAGGACGCTGTTCTAGATGGACCACTGGTCATAACATGTAGCCTCTGTAATTAATTTTAATTAGTTTTGTTTCAATTTAAATCATTTTTCTCTCTGAAGTCTTGTTTGCAAGATGATTCCAGTTTCCAGTCATGTGAGAGTTACATTGCAACATCAAATTGTATTCACAGCATACCACGGGGGGGGGGGGGGGGGGTTTGGAAGAAAGTTTTTTCCCCAGCACACCGGGGGGGGGGGGGGGACTGGATTAGAAGATACTTTTACATAAGAAATGCAGAAAAATCCGCAAACAAATTTTTTCAAGAGAGTCCACTTAATTTTTGGGGGCTTATACAGGAGACAATTCAAATGGTCAGTTTTTAAACAGAGGAGAGAATTAACAAATGATATTATGAGAGACCGGGTGGTGTAGTGGTTAGAGTGTCGGAGAAGGATCTGGGAAACCCAGGTTTGAATCCTCACTCTGCCATGGAAGTTTGCTGGGTTTCCCTTGACCGACTCGCATATGCTCATCCTAATGTACCTCGCAGGGCTCTTTTTGTAGCAGGAACTCCTTTGCATATTAGGCCACACACCCCTAATGTAGCCAATCCTCCAAGAGCTTACAGAGCTCTTCTTATAGGAGCTACTGCAAGCTCTTGGAGGATTGGCTACATTAGGGGTGTGTCGCTTAATATGTAAAGGAGTACCTGCTACAAAAAGAGCCCTGCGTGACAGGGCTGTTGTGAACATAAAATGGAGCCGAGGAGAACAACGTCAGTAGCTCTGGGTCCCCACTGGAGAGAAAGGTGAGGTATAAATGAAGTAAACCAATAGAATAAGTACATTTTATAACATCACACACACCTGTACTTGGGTTCCGTAGCCTGGTAAATAACGGCCCGCTCCCAGCCTTCCTTGGCAGGTTAATGACAGAAGCTGAAAAGAATTAAATTGTGAAGTGGAAGACACATCATTCCTTAAAATATCTAACAGTGACATACTAAGCAGATCTGCTCAAAATCCTGCTCAGGTCTATTCAGTGTGGCCTACTCCCAGGAAAGTATTCTTAGAATTGCCCTGGGAATCCGAATCTGGCTTACACAGTTGCCTTTAGAGAACAAGAATGATCCCTCGGTCACAGGGTTCCCAGCTCCGGGTTGGGAAATTCCTGGAGATTTTGGAGGTGGAGCCTGGGAAGGAGGCGGCATTTGGGGAGGAGAAGGATCTTAACGGGGTATAACGCCATAGAGACCACCTTCCAAAGAGACCATTTTTCTCCAGGGGGAACTGATCTCTGTAACCCAGAGACCAGTTGTAATTCCGGCAGATCTCCAGCCACCCCCTGGAGACTGGCAACCTTATATAAGGCCAGTCCCAGTTCTATCTTCCAACCCTGTAAAGCTACAAGCCACATTCTGTACACCATTTTTGTATTAAATAAGGGATTTTGACGGGCCAGCAGCAGGCGATGAGAAGGGAACACAAGTGTGGTGGTGGGGGCTGAGGGTACAGTAGGTCAGCATGCTCATGAGAGGGTTGTGTAGCCACTAGTGAAATTAGAGACATGTTCATGGATATGTTAGCAAGCATATGATGGAAAGGAGCTCGAGTGTTAAACTGGCAAAATGGAAAAAGTTAGAACCTTCTTTGGAGGGTGAACGATCCCACTGTCTGTATCAAAAGGCCCTGAAAAATAATTTCCAACGTTCAGATAAATTTATTGAGTGTTGGGTACTGTTTATAGTGTTTTGGAATAATAAGGTAAGAAAGAAAGTGTTTCCTTTAGGCATTTTCTTAGTTGTTATAACACATCTTCGCCTCTTCCTGTAGTTGCAACAATGAAATGTGTTACATTATATATACTGTGTTACGTTTTACAAAATTTAGAAAAGGAATGGAACAGAAGAGTGTGGAATGTATAATAATCTCCCTGCCACACACCCCTCCAACTCAATTCCATCCCTATTTGTTGATTCACAGTGTTCAGCTCTCACAAGTCTCAGTTCAGCTTTTACATTTATGTCCTCTACATGGGTTATATTTGAAGCACAAACTTTATACACATTTTCACAACAAAGAGCACACAGACTCTGAACTACAATGTGTAAAAAGAAAAAAAGCTTCCATTTTAGTAGTTGCCAGGGTCGGGATTTATTGCTGGCCTAACTAAGAACAGAAAACACAAAGCATTCAAGAAGTGACTTTCTGTTTCATTTCTGCTTAATTCATCAAGTGCTTCCAGTTTCTACAGAACTCTGAAAGAACTGGCAATGTCTTTACAGCAACACACCTTGAGCCAATTTGGACATTACATTTCTGCACTTCCTTCTTAGTTCTTAAAATTTAAGACTACAATT